TGACGTCTGAGCGTGGTTGTGAGTGAGGTGACAGTGGCCCCTGTGCAGGCTGGGACAGAGACAGAGCGGTAGTGCGGAGGCCCTGAAAGCAGAGCGAGGCTGGAGTGTGAGGGACAGCGGCCGGAGGGGGGCGGGTGGGTGGGTGCGATGGGGTCATGGGGGACTGAAGCCGGGGAAGGAGGAGATGTGGCCCACCAAATTTGGGACCATTTGGGCTAGGGGTCCCCAGTTTTGTTGGCACCAGCGACCAGTTTCATGGAAGATGAATTTTTCCACAGATGGGATCGGGGGGATGGTTTGGGATGAAACTGTTCCACCTCAGATCGTCAGACACTAGATTCTCCCAAGGAGCGTCCCACCCAGATCCCCCCATGCACAGTTCACAGCAGGCATCACACGCCTATGAGAATTTAATGCTGCCGCTGACCTGACAGTGATGCTCGCTCACCCGCTGCTCACCTCCTGCTGTGTGGCCCGTTTCCTAACAGGCCATGGACTGGGCCCCCTGGTTCAAGCCAGATCCGATGGGAGTGTTTTCTCATCAAGATGGAAATGAAGGGGAGATGTGATCTGATTTACTTATGTGTGTTTTCATTTTATCCTAATCTTTATTTTTGTAACTCACGGAATTTTTTCACACCTCAGTTTTTATTCAGAAAAGCATTAACCATCGTTGGTTTTATATAAGACATGGTGAGATCACAGTAAGCGGAGAACGTTTACCATTGTTTTTCTACTTGACATCAGCAATGCAGCACATTAGCTTTTTTGTACATTATATTGACCCATGTATTCATAGTTTTGGGTACCCTTTATTTCTTTGTATAGCTCTTATTTTTCTTTTTCCTTTTTTTCTTTCTTTTTTTTTTCAGTGGGGACAGGGTCTTGCTCTGTTACCCAGGCTGGAGTGCAGTGATACTATTGTGACTTACTGCAGCCTTGACCTCCTGGGCTCAAGCAATCCTCCTGCCTCAGCCTCCCAAGTGGCTGGAACTACAGGCGCATGCCACCAGCCTGGCTAATTTTTTTTGTATTTTTTAGTAGAGCTGGGGTTTCGTCACATTGCCCAGACTGGTCTTGAACTCCTGGGCTAAAGTGATCCTCCTGCCTCGGCCTGCCAAAATTCTGGGATTACAGGTGTGAGCCACCATGACTGGCCCAGATTGGATATTAATACAGTTTTTTTTCTCCTTGAAAAGCCAACTCGTACCAACTATAGAAAACTGAGAAAATGCAGATATAAAAGGAGTAGTTTAAATCATCCTACCTTATTTGATTTTTAAAAAGTAAACTGATTTTAGAATAATCTTAGACTTATGGAAAAGTTGCAAGCACCATTCGGTGTGATTTACTTTTTGTGGGTAATTTTTCTCCCCTCCGGGAGATCACATTTGTCTCCTTCCGGTTTCTGGCACCTTCGTCCAGTGGCTCCTGCGTAGAGGGTGCTGAGGCATCGGTCAGACGACTCTTGGTCGTTAGTGGTTTGTTTCCCATTATTTGGTCTCCCTTCGGCTTCTCTCCTGGTCGGGTTTCTCGTCACTTCTCAGTGGGTTATTTCCACAGTTGACCTCGGTTCTGATCCAGTCTTGACAGAGCTGCCAGAGGGAGTCTCGAAATGCAAACCAGCTGCATCTCCCCTTGTTGAAAACTCTGTGGCTTTTCAGGGAAAAGGCAGCCAGCAGGACCGGCCTGGCCACGGTGGCCTCAGGGCCCGAGCATGGCTGTGTCCCCCACGCCTCTCCACGCACACCAGGCCTCATCCCCCAGCTGTCGTGGCGGGTGCCTTTGCCCCGGCCTGCGTGGCTCCTCGCCTGGCGGCCGCTCCCTGTAATTCAGTTCTCTATATAGATGTCAGTTTCTCCATAAGCTCTCAGCTGCCCACACTCTCCCCCAAAGTGTGGCCCCACCCCTGCAGGGTGGTTCCTAACTGCCACTCTGCCCACCGCGTGCTAGCCTGGGTGTGTGGTTGCCTGCTGGCTCTGGGCTCAGGCTGGGGTGCTGCGAGGGTTGCAGGGGTGACAGTGAATCTTTGTCTTCAGTGGGCCAGTCTCCTTCCCAGCGTCCCTCCTGGGGCTGTGGATCTGGCCTCCGCCGTTGAATGGCCCTCTCTTGAGGTTGTTGGGCATTGGTGAAGATCCTGATGGAATCTCATCACTGGAGCCGGACGTCTTTCTTCCCAGGTCTGGGCATGGCGGAATTGCTGCGCGGCGTATTGGGAGAGGGACCATTGTCTTTATGGCTGCTTGTGACCTGTCCAGGGCACTGCTGTGCCAGCCTTTGTGTGTCTGGTATCTTGGCTTCTAAGTTGAGCCACCCACCTGGCTGGGTTGCGATGGTTTCACTCCCGTCACGTTTTCATGCTATTGAAACTCACTTTTCTCACTGCCTGATTTCTGGCTTTTGTGGGTCCCTCCTGGTGTCTGTGATGCCCCCATTTAGTCTGCAGGCATCCCCCCACCTCTCTGGTGGCCCGGTGTGCACACCTGCTAGGTCAGCCCTGGGCATCTGGGAATCGCATCAGAGATGCTGCCATGCTCGGTGGCCTGGGACTTCTGTCCTGTAGAGGCCTCAGCCATTGCATTTTAGGAATCGGCACTAAACTAACGTCTACTGTTGCCCACAGAAGAACTGTGCCAAATGCTCTGGTTGTCTACAGGAAAAAAAGGTAGTATGCAGGTTTCAGCAGCGTATCCAATTCCATTTCTGCAGGCCTCTGTGGGAGGTTTGCTCTTGGTTGGGGGGGGCATGTTCCAGCTCATTGTCATGTTCAGGTGAAATGAGGCAGGCTTCATGTACCTCAGTAATCAGCCGATTGGATATGGACAGGAGCTGGAATCTGTTGCTCATTTGGAAGTCAGATTCTGAACTCATTCATTATTGCAGTTATAAACTGGTTGCCTTTTTTTTGGTTCTTGGAATGATTTGGATGGAGCTGACCTGGTCCCCACAACTCCCTGCTTTGTGATTGATTCAGTGTGTTCCTGTGGCTTCAGGCCACCCTTGCTGGCCAGGGGAGCTGGTTCCTAGGGCTTGAGGCCAGCCTGCCCTTTGGCTGAGAGGCCCATGCCATGATGCTGGTCATGGCGATAGCACCGCAGGGCACAATCAGGAATGTGCCAGAGCTTTAGGGTCCCTTGGACCAGCAGCTGGGGTCCTTGGGCATTTCCTGGGTGGAGGTGGTCTCTGGGGTGCAGAGTTGGTCATTCCAGGGCAGGCAGTTCACTTGGCCACACCAGGTTTGGCTGGAAGGCTTCTCCACCGCATTCCCAGCCACTGGCCTCCCGAGTTTAGCTTCTTGTGGTCAGGACCCAGACCCTGATAACCTTGAGGACTCTTCTCTCTGGGAGGCTGTCGGGGCTGAGCTGCCTGTGGCCCTCCACCGCCCTGCTCCTTCCTCCGGGTGGAGGACACCCCATCCCGCATGCCCCTCCTTCAGCTCGCTGGGATTCACCCCCAGTGGCCTTCCCAGGCTCCTGCCCTTCTCCCTGGCCCTGTCTCTGCACGCTCCAATGTCTTCCCCTTTGGCTGATGCTTGGATTGGGGGTGAACTCAAGGTGTGGTCTGTGCAGAATGGCATGACAGCCCTAACAGCCCTTCACGGTGTGTAGTACCTGAAGCCCAGGCCGTAGCCGTCTCAGGTTAGATCCTCAGAGTGGCACTGTCAGGTAGAGGAGTCAGGGGTCTTATTGATGAGAAAATAGAGGCTTGGGAGAGGAGTGGGCAGCTAGTGTCTGACCAGTCCCCACATGGGGCACTCCCCAGTCAGAATGTTTGCAGTGCAGCTTCAGGCACTGACATGGGCAAACCCTTCCTCTCCCAGGCCGTCCCTTCCTGCAGCTGCTTGGACACTGGCACATGTTGGTGGGCGTCAGCACCAGGGCTGGGCTCCTGCCTGGGACTCAAATCAGGAGCAAGTCCCACGGAGGCAGAGCAGCCGAGAATCAACGGTGGCCATAGCCACCACATCCTGTTTCCAGGGGCAACGGTGGCAACAGTGCCAGCTGCCATGCCTGCTGTGCCTGGTTGCCCCACAGATGTTTCCTGAAGCTTGATTTTGGCTGTGATTGGAGCGTGGCCAGTTCTGGTTCCTACTATTTTCTGAGCCTGCTCCTCCAGCCTTCCCAGAAGTTCTTTGAGTTGTGGAGTAGCCTTTCAGTAAACGGCATTTGTGCTTAAATTAGCCCGTGTCCGTTTCTGACACCTGCTGTTGAGAGTGCTGCCTGATGCAGGTGCTCGGGGCTGGCCACGCTCCCCACCTGAGTCCAGAGCCCGGCCCAGGCCTCCTGACTGACAGCCTGCAGCCTTGCCCGGACTGGGATGATAGAGCAGCAAACGTGGCTCCGTGGAGAACCACATTTGAGAGAGCAAAACCTAAGCTGGCCTCTTTACAGCCAGTCTGCTGGAAGCTTTAACCCACCGCCGTGCAGGGCAAGTTTCCAAGAAGTGGCGAGAGAACATCCCAATTTCTCACGCTGCCTCCAGAGCCCTGTTGTCTGAGCAGTATCTTCTGTGAACACACTTTGGGAAGTGCTGTCATGGATGCTTGGCCTGGATGGTGGTCACACTGGTAATTCAGTTCCACAACTATTTTATGAGCCCCTTGTGTGTGTGATGCGTGCTGTTCTTCAGGCGGTCCCGAGCAGAGCCGCCGGCACCCTGCCTGAGAAGCAGTGGCCCCGGGTGGTGGGAGATGTCTGCAGGGGCAGGGCTGAGGCTGGGGACCGAGATTGTGGCTCTGAGAAATGATGGAGATGGGAGAAGGGGAGGCAGTCACCTTGGAAGCAAGGGCGGGATGGCGGTGCTTTCAATGAGACTTGGGGGAGACGGGCAGCATGCTCCAGGGGATGAGGTCGGAGCAGAGGGGGTTGGGTTAAAATGTTGATTGTGGTGGGAACAACAGTGATCCCCAAATCCTACAGAGCCTTTGGGAGGCCTGGTCTTTGCAGGTGTTCCCTCTAAACTCATGCCGACATTGTGATTTGGTGTGATTTACCCTATAGACAAAAACAGTTGAAGCACCGAGAGTGATCTTCTCACAGCAACGGGACAGTGGGCGGGAAGCCGTGATTTGCACCCCCTGCCTTTATCTGGCCTCTGCCACGTGGTAAGTGGAAGGCAGGTGGCTCCTTCCACAGGGCTCTTTGCCCTCCCGGGAAGCCTGGTTTTTACCCTTGAGGCACCAGGGAAGCTGCAGGGTGAGATGTTGAAGGAGTGTGATGTGGGCAGAGCCTCTCCGATGGGGCATGGTTTCCGGCACATCCCGTATCCATATCCTGAGGCGATTGATTGGGATCCGGTTCAAATCCCTGTCAATCTGCACAGAAAAGGGGAGGTTGTAGAGACAGCTCTGGAGTGTGACGGTTTAGGATTGAATCTTGAGAGTAATGCTTCTAGAAAACGCTTGTGTAGTTTGGGGTCTGCTGCCCGACCTTGCTCCCTTTAAGGGACGTAAATGCACCTCTCTCTCGTTCTTGGAAAGACAGATGAGAGAACCAAAGTGTGGCCTTAGAAGCGTGTGGAAGACACAGAAAGGGAAGATCAGCTGGAGGGCTGGTGGAGGCTTTCACAGGAGAGGAGACCAGGCAGCAAGGTGCCCAGCAGACAGGCAGGGAGGGGGTCTTCAGTGAAGGCGCAGAGATTTGAGATGCATGCGTGATTCACAACCGCTTCAGTGTGGGAACAGAGTGGGAAGGTGCCAGTGAGCGGCCCTTCCAGGGGTCATCAGGCCTTTTCTGTAGAGGGCTGGAGAGTCAGTGTTCTGGGCTTGCAGGGCCACATTGCCTCTGTCACAACTGCTCACCTCTGCCGCTGCAGCACAGAAGTAGCAGGAGACTGTGTGTAAATAAATGAACACAATTGTGTCTCAAAACTTTATTTACAAAGACAGGTGCAGTGAGTCAGATTTGCCCCACGGGCTCTAGTTTGTTGCCCCTGCTCCAGCCCCTTAATGTAGGGAGCCCTTGCTTTGTTGTTCTCAGTGAGCTTTGATTGCTGGTGATTGGGTTGGAGTGGGAAGAACCCAGGTGTGATGGGAGCCATGAGGACGGCCTTCCTTAAGTAGCCACGAGCTGCTGTGGGTCTTCCTGGGAAGCTGTGGCAGTGAGAGGACAGAGCTAAAATAGCAAGAGCCAGTGCCTGAGGAGGCTGAAGAGGGAGGATCGCTAAAGCCCATGGTTCAAGACTGCAGTGAGCTAGAATTACACCACTGCTCTCCAGCCTGAGCAGCAGAGCAAGACCCCGTCTCTAAAAAATAGAGAAAGAAATGTACAAGTGTAAAGGTAGCCTATGGATGTGTTCCCCCGTATTCCTCAGGCTCTGCTCTTCAGCCTCCTGAGCAGCTGGAACTACAGGTGTGTGCTATCACACCCCGCTAATTTTAATTCTTTTCGGACAGGGTCTTGCTACGTTGCCCAGGCTGGTTTCAACTCCTGAGTTCAAGTGATCCTCCTGTCTCGGCCTTCCAAAGTGCTGGGGTTACAGGCATGAGCCACTGCGCCCAGCCTCTCGGCCTTCTAAAGTGCTGGGATTACAGGCATGAGCCACTGCACCCAGCCTTGTACATCTCTTTAAATGTAAATTAAATGTGCTCTCCACAGCACATTTAATTTACCCCCGCATTGCTCATCCTCTCGGGCTGGCTCCTAACACAGGTGTCGTGGCGTAGGTGCTGAGTTGAATCTTTCTGTAAGTCGTTGCATACAAGCTTCATTCTAAAATGTACTTTATTCCAAATATTGAACAGTTTGTCTTTGGGATTTATTGTTTATGGTAGTTGTTTTATTAATTGTTTTAGTAAAACAAAGTGAGCTTAGTTGTGGGTATTATTTAAAAGGAGCTCTTACCAGGTCAGCTTCCTTCAATGACGTATTGGTTTAAGATAAACAAGAAGAATCGGGATACAGTAATTTTAGGAAATAACAGGAGATTGTAGTATTGGTTGGCTGCTCTAGGTAATTGTGGTAATTTTCTGTCTTCCCGGTAACCATATTGTAGAAATGACGCATCGTATGATTCCAAAAATGAGGAAAAAGCTTTGGAATATATTTTGTGTCTTAACCAGTACTTCTGTTGTGTTATATATACGACCAGCCTCTTCATATACACTTTGTCTTAAAATCTGTTTCTGTTTAGGTACTTGGAAAAATGGACAAGGCCTGTGAAATGAAACGCACCGTGCTGGACAGCCCTCTGGGGAAGCTGGAGCTGTCTGGTTGTGAGCAGGGTCTGCACGAAATAAAGCTCCTGGGCAAGGGGACGCCTAAAGCTGAGTAAGTACGAACCTGCATGATCCCGTATACTGCACATGCTGAAGCGGCTGAGGAGTATATGTGACAACTGCTTGTTTTCCATCGATCACAGGGTAACACATAGCCTTACCCCCACAACCGCAGCCACGAGCCTGTCTCTCAAAACAGCGTGCTGCGATGGCTCCTGCATTTGCAGCTTCCCTGTGTGTTGTCCAGAAGCCCTCCGCCTCCGATGAACCCAGGGCCATGCCCTTCATACCCTTTCATTAGTAGCTCCAAGATGTTTGATTAATGTGTACGTTTACAGAGGAGTTGGTTGGTGATGAGCATTGAACATTTTGGTTCTTCAGCATATGTCTCTAGAAATTTAGAGACAGGGAGATACAGGATTAATCTTGATTGAAAAAAAAGAAAAATCCAGACCAGGGTTCCCTGTTCCGCCAGAGTCTGCCAGGTGACTTTCATACTGGGACTGCTTGATGTTCTGGAATTCCTTAACCAGGAGGCCCACTTGCCCTCTGAAAGCCGTGGTCAGACCCTTGGCGCGGGTGTGGCTGAGGACAGCCCTGCCTGGGGAAGGGCCGAAAGCCCCTTTTCAGCATGGCTTTAGGGTCTTGTCATTTCTTAAAGCGTACGTGTCTCTGTGTTTGTGAACAGCTCCCACTGTATTTCTCTAACTGCAAAAACAAAAAATGTAAAGCACTCCTTAATGTTTTGCTTTGAAATGTAACATTTAATTTCCTCCGTTCATTCTATTAAAATTGTAGGTCTTGTTATTTATTTCTGACAAGAAGAAAAAAAACACCCACTCCTATGCTTGGTGTTTCTCTTAACTGGCTAATAAACACAATGCCAAGAACATTAGATAAAGAAAATACATAAGAAACATAAAAATTGATTTTAATGGACCCCTGTCAGAGACAGCCGTAATGAGCACAAGTGCAGTCATAAATATCAGCACTCACCTCTGCTGTCGAGATTTTTCCTGTAGAGCTGCACGTTACAATCAATATAGTCTTTTTGAGACCAAAAAATAAGCAAACCTTTGAACTATGTGAATACACTCTTTTCAATTTCTATGAGAACCATCTGGCTGTAGTGTTCAGAAAATCACAGGCACCAAATAATTTGTAGGGGAAAATGTCATTTTGTCTTTTAGCATGTTCAGTTGCACAATAAATCATAGAAATTATGTGTTGGTTTTTTTTCTTTTGGGAAAAAGTAAAGGTACAAAGTGAATTTGGGGAAGAAAAAGGAAAACAAAACAAAAACAACAAACATTGTAAGATATGTTTAGTTAAATGCCCGTTGTGGATTATGCAAATAGGATGAAGAGGCTTAATTTTGAATTTCTACTTTATGAACTTTCTGAATCAAGTTAGGATCAGGTTCAGGTGTAACAACAGCCCTGAAATAATGCTGACTCCTGAATACGATCTGGCTGATTGCTCACTTGAAGACACACCTGTAGACAAACCGTGGTAGCTGGGGCTATTGCCTTCATGGCTTCTGGGAACTTGGGCTCCTCTGAGCTTTCCTCTCGGGGTCTCCAGATGGTGGTCCCTTCCCTGGTGCTTCAAGATGGCGCTGGGCCCGAGCCACAGGTAGGGGAGAAAGAAAGGAGGACGTGTCATATATGGGCTAAAATTAGGTGTACTGTGAGTAAGGAAGGAGTGGGATTTGGGGGGCAGCCAGCAGTGTTAGTGTGCACAGTTAATTTTGGTGGGGGGAGCATTTAAAAGTTTGAGAATAGTATATAAAACTATATGAATATTCAATTAAGTTTAACATTGTATCATTTTTAAAATTTAGGTAAAAATTACATAGAAGACTTAAGATTTCAAGTGTACAATTCAATGATTTTTGACAAAAGCGTACAACCATATAACCACCACCGAAGACATAGAACATTCAAGATACAGAACATTCCGGAAAGTTCCCTTGTGCCCCCTTAAGTCAGTCTTCTTTGCGAATTTTTGTTTCCATTTCTCCTGAGTAAATTCCTGAGTGTGGAATTGCTGGGCTGGATGGCAAATGCATGTTTAACTTGACAAGAAATTGCCAAAACTTTCTTCAGAGCAGTATCATCTTAAATTTCCACTAGCAGTGTGTGTTTCAGTTACTCCATGTTCTTGGCAGTACTTGGTGGTGTCAGTTTTTCAGATTTTAGCCATTTTGGCTGGTATAAAGTATTATCTCATTGTGGTTCTAATTTGCACTTTGCCAATGACTTATCCTGATGAAGTCTTGGCCATTCCTGTGTTTTCTTTGTGAAATATCTACTCAAGTCCTTTGCCTATTTTTTTTTTATTTTTAATTGTTTTGAGATGGAGGCTTGCTCTGTCGCCTAGGCTGTAGTGCAGTGGTGCAATCTCAGCTCACTGCAACCTCCGCCTCCTGGGTTCAAGCAGTTCTCCTGCCTCAGCCTCCCGAGTAGCTGGGATTACAGGCGCCCGCCACCTTGCCCAGCTAATTTTTGTATTTTTAGTAGAGACAGGATTTCACTATGTCGGTCAGGCTGGTCTCTAACTCCTGATCTTGTGATCTGCCTGTCTTGGCCTCCCAAAGTGCTGGGATTACAGGCGTGAGCCCCTGCGCCGGGCCACCTTTTGCCCATTTTAAAATTAGAGCTTTCTTGTTTGTGTGTGTGTTGTTACTGATTTGTGGTTATGGATAGGAGACTTTTGTCAGATGCACGTATTGTGATGATTTTCTGACAAGCTGGAGGTCTGCTTTTTTGTTTTTCTAATAGTGTCTTTTGATGAGAAGAGGTTTTAAATTTTGAACAAGTCCGTATGTCTTTTTTTCCCCTTTTGTTTAAGACTTTTTGTGTTCTCTGTAAGAAATATTTGCCTACTGTAATTTCTGAAATTCATTCTCCTGTAATTTCTTTTAAAAGCTTTGTAGTTTTTTTTATGTTTAGATATGTGATCCATTTTGAATTACCTTTTTGTGAGGCACAGAGTTTATTTTTTCCCTGTAGCTATTTAATTGTTTTAGCATCATTTGTTGGGAAATAAAAATTGTCTCTCTTCTTCATTGAATTACCATCATTTGACCATGGGTGTGTGAGCCTGGTTCTAGTTTTGCTCTGTTTGGTTCAGCCTACCGTTGCCTGTTCTGTGCCCGTTCCACGCTGGCCTGGTTAGGTAGCTTTGTGATACGTGTTGATGCCAGGTAACGTGAGTCCGTGAGTCCTCTAAATTTATTTATTTTTAAATCATTTGGCTTCTGCGTCTCTTAAGTTTGCATATTACTTTTAGAATTCAGGTGTAAATTTCTGCAGTGATTCTTTTTGGGATTTCGATTGGGAGTTCATTGAACCTGGGTGTCAATTTTGGAAGGTTGACGTCTTGGTATTGAAGGCGTCAGTTCCCGGCTTCGACTGGCATCTGCATTTGTTTATGTTCTTTCATTGTCCTCAGCAGCATTGGATGGTTTTTCTGCCTGGAGGCTTTGCTCATCTGGCAAACTCCATTTCTAAATACTTTGTTCTTGATGGTATTCTAAATTAGGTTGAAATTTTTTAACCTTTTAATTTATTGCTGCTTGTATTTAACAACTGACTTGTATGTTGATCTTATATTCTGGAATCTTGACTCATTCATGTATTTGTTCCAGGGTTTTGAGATTGCTTAGGATTCTGTATAAAAATTCATGATGTCTATGAATAAAGACAATATGCATCTTCCTTTCTGATCTTTATGCTTTTAATTTCTTCTACTGAGCTGTCCAGAACCCTCCAGGATGACCAGTGAGGGTGGCGACGACGGACGTCCTCCCTGGTTCCTGGTTTGGGGAGCTTGCAGGATTTCACCAGTGAGGGCTTATACTCCCCATTTTGGGTTTCGGAGGCATCTTCCTCACTGGGTGGAATTTTGTCAAATGATTTTCATGTATGCGTTGACAGAGTCATGTAATCTTTCTCCTTTATTCTTTAAATTTGGTAGAATAAATTTTTAGAATTTTAAACCAGGTGTATACTTTTCTCTTTTTTTGGTAATATCTTTGTCTTGTTTTGGAATTAGGCTCATTCTGCTGACAAATCAGTTTGGAAGCATTCCCTGTTCTATTTTCTGAAAGAGTAAGGGTTGGATTGGTATTACTTTATCCCCAGATTGTGAGATGAATGCACCTTGGACGCCATCTGGGTCTGGTGTCAGAAGTCTTCTGTGAAGCTTCCTGGTTTAGTAGAATTGGGTGCTGCCTTCACTCATCTCGGGGTGCTCCCCTGGAGCCATCTGTGCCCTGTGTGGCTGCTGTCCTCTGGTTGCTGAGTGACAGTGACTGCCGGGATTTGGGGCAGCGTCCTACTGGCTCTGGCCCCTGCCCTCACCTTTTCCGAGTGCCTCTGAGTCCCAGGGTGGTCCTTGCTTCCTCTGAATGGGTGTTTCTTTCTTTAGTAGATAAATTACAGGTTGACCGTTGGGCCTTCTTCAGTGACGTTGCATCTGTGCTTCTGTACAAAGTGTGTTTCCCGCTCCCCAGGTGAATCCATTTACCTGTGTGTGGCTTCGCGCGGGGACCAACGACTTCCTTGCCTAGTTACCTTTCCCTCCCTAAAAATGTGTGTGAGAAGCACATCCGTTGGGAAAGTGGCATAGTTTCCAAAAGGGAAGCAACATAAGCTGCTTTTAAGTTAGTTTCATAAGTGCCTGACAGTATCAGGTTTCTGTGAATGCCATCACATCCAGGAGCGCTTGGCCTCTGCCAGAGCCGAGCAGCTCCCCCGCGCCATCTTCCCGCGGCTGCAGAGCTCTGACCTCGTCAGATTCCCTGCAGTGCCCACAGTCTAATGAGAGGGGCCAGGCGGTATGTGTTTATTTTTCTAATGTTATTTTGGGGCTTGTTTAGTTTTCCATAATGTTGATTGCCGTATTTGATTACTTGAAAAAATGGACCATATCACCCTGGGTCATACTTAGATTACAAAAATAGTAGCAGTAGGACTTCTAGATCTTGGATGCTGGGGAGCTGAGGGGGTTCATCTTTCACTTACCAAGGGCTTACCCTTGTTTTTC